GGGGGGGGGTTACCTGGGACCACCAAGGACACCGGCATTTTTGGTGAGCTGATCGATGAGAAGGGCGGATTTGGGGTCGACGCTGTAAGCTTTGACATATTGGGTGCTAATGCCTTGGCCTGAAGGCACAAAAAATGCACCATTAACCATAACGTCGCCATCACTCCTCCAGTTCCAGTCGTTCCACTTCCCAGTGTCTGTGTCTTCCCGCTTTGTCACCTGTTCCCCCAAAAACCAAAGTTGTAAATGATATAAAGCTAGTGTTTGGCATAAATTCTCAAATTTATTTTGAAAAAAGCTGATTTGGGTGAAGTTTGATTTGTTGATCAAAATGTGTTTGTAAATCAGTTTTTAAAATATATTTCACTTTTTAAAAAAAAAAATATGAAACATGACTTATACCCACAAGTTTTAAAAACTATCCCAAATACACTATCATTATCATTTTTATAATGAACTACGTAATACACTATCAGATGACCGAGAAGACGAAACAACATTGTTACAAAATAATAAATAGTGGGCTCTTTTATAAAATACAAAAGTTTGGGACAATTTTTAAAAAATGTAATAGTAATATTTTGGGCTAAAAACAAGAGCTGGTTTTGGAATTTGGATTTTGAGTTTTGGGAATTTGACAAAATATGGATAAAACTTATGAACAAACATGTATTTGCCAAAAAAAAACTTAAATATATTTTGACAAAATATATAGCTAAACGGGTCCTTTGGGGAAAATAACAGAAAACTGAAGCATTAGTATCAGAAATAAGCTCTAGAAAAAGGGGGGGAAATTACAAATATCGCTCCCTGCAACATTTAGTTAATACATTTCACTTTTGTGCTTTAAATTTTGACATTAAAAATTTGTTAGTTATCAGTTGATGGTTAAATACTTCATTAAGTGTCATGCGAATCAAAACTAGTTGACTAATAATTGAAATACTGAAACCACAATTATCACTAAGTTCTAATTAATTGTTGTCCCACATGAATATAACCATGAAAAATACTTACTACTACTATTCTACACATATCAAACGAAACAAAAGATAGTATTTTCAACGTGCTCATTAGGGGTGTTTATGAAAACCCTAAAAATCGAACCAAATCGAAAATCGAACCAAATCGACCAAAAAAATCGATACTTTTTAGGTTAGGTTTGGTTTTGATTTTAAATTTTAAAAAACGATCAAATTTGGTTTGGTTTTGATTTTAATAAAAAAAATAACCGAAAAAACCCAAATCAAACCGACTATAGAAGTAACTATTTAAATTTATTATTACACCTATATATATATATGTATATTTTTATATAAAGTTTCTAAAATGTTATGGTACATATTAGTCGTTTGTATTTTAAATCTAGTTTTTTGCTATTACAATAATCTAATTCTTTGCCTCTACATTCTAGTTTGATTGGTAGTTTGCCTTTGCTAAGTACAAGAATTGTTTCATGTTAAAAATAATCGATTTTTAATTGAGTACTTAAATTATTCATCAATATTTAATTCAATTATTATCAATATATCATGGTAAATGTTAGATTTCTCAAAGAGCAATTGGTTTGATAGTGTCGCGTTGAAAATATAGTCGCCGGAATATATGTTTGGTAGTGTATGTCTCATAATAAGAAAAAAACCGATAAATAACTGAAAAAATCAAAAAATCGACAAAAACCGACTTAATTGGTTTGGTTTGGTTCCAACATTTTAAAAACCGACTTATTTGATTTGGTTTTTTTTTACGAAAAAATCGATCCAAACCGAACCATGAACACCACTGTTTCATCCATCTTGCTAGAAAACAGTGTGAATCAGTGATGGCGTGTTCACCACGCGCAGACTTAGCAAGTCATCCAAAGAGAACAAATGTGGCGACATAAGTCCAAAAAAAAAATTACTGTAGATCCCAAAGACATCACTAAGTAATTTTCAGTTTGTGGAAAACAAGATTAATAAACTAAGAGAACATTACTAATTATGAGTACTTCATTTCAAGTTAGATAACATAATTTATTTATAAGCATTAATTTGACTAAATTTTGAAGCTATATTGGATAAGTTCAATTCAATATTTTAAAATTAAAATTTAAATACTCGAAAATTATATGAAAAGCATTATAAGTTATAATTTTTCTCATTTCAATATGATAAAAATAATATTTTAAATAATTGATTAAATATTTTACATAATTTGACTCTCAATAAGCGAAATGTATCGTCTAAATTCAAACGAAAGGAGTATATTAGAGCTTTTAAGAAGATAGAAAAAATAACCCAAAATAAAAGATAAAGAAAGAAGAAGACAAATTTTACCTCCTTCAAATTAGGGTCATCAGGAGCAGTATAGCGATTGCCCTGACTATTAATAGTGGGACTTGCGCTACCACCAATTGCATACATTTGCCATTCTGTGAAATCGTTGTTAACCACATGTACGTATCCTCTTCTAATCCTTGGCATTCTTTGCACTAACCCTTCTCCAAAATGATTAAACGCTATTGTCACCTGGAGTATTCAAAATTACACTACAACCCCCAAAAATAATTAAAAAATCAGAAGAAAAAATTTAATTTAAAAATATCTAACCTGCATTCCTGAATCTGGCAAGTATTTATCATCATGTCCCAAGAGCATGACATCATCATGATGGCTAAAATAGCTATTCGAAATAGTAATAGCAGTGGACCCCATAATAGCATCAATCAAGCCGTCCGTACAATGAGACAATGCACAATGATCAACCCAAATATTCCGAGATCCAAATATGGATATTCCATCACCGTCCGATTTGCCTCTATACCCAACATGCGTTGGACTCGACCGTATATTAGTATTACCCGAAGGGACACAATTGTAAATATGAACATTATGTATAATCACATTGCTCACGTACTGTAACGTTATGCATCCGCCGCCGGTAATGTGAACGTTCGCGCCGCGGCCGTCGATGGTTTTGTAGCTGTTCACAATAAGCTCGTGTTTTAGCTTAATGACCATGTCGGCGGCGAACACGATCCAGAGAGGTTCCTCTTGAACGACGGCGTGCCGGAGAGTGCCCGGAGTAGGGTTAACGGTGTCTCTGTCGGAGGAGTCGGTGACTACGTAGATCTGACCGTTTTTCCCACCCATTGCACCCTGACCGAACCCAATGGCGCAGTCTGCTAACCTTTGTCGGTTTTTAGCCCAGTTTGAGTCGCATTGCCAGCAATCGTCTATTGGATTTCCGGTTAGACATTTATTACTACTATCTCTAACAGTTGTTTCAAGTATTTGTCTTCTCGCAATGGACTCATTTACCCTCCTGAGAAACAGAGAGAGTGTAGAAAATTAACAACAGATAGATCAGTATCAACACATAAAATAAAGTAATGAGCTAATTAAAACCCACATTTTTACCTCTGAACATCTTGAACCACAGATTCAGGGAAAGGTTGCTGGTGAGGAAGGGTAAGATTGAGGGTGGCACTAATTAGAGAGAAAAAGGAAGTAATGAAGCAGAATAAGAAAATGCTAGTAACTGGAGGCATAGTTGATGAGTAAAAGGAACTCTTAAGACAGGGAAGCTATGTCTCTTGTTCTTAAATGCTTAGTCAAAGGAAGCTGCAGATTTTGGGAAAATGTAACTTATAATATAAAACTAAATAATTAGTATTGTTAACTAGGATTTTGGACTTCATAGACGTTGGTAATGGTGGCTGTAATGTTCACACTGGCCAAAACCCAATAGCCATGAAAGGGGAGAGAGAGAGGAGCTATTTGTCTTTTTTCTCTCCTTCGCAGGTTCTCTCTCTGTGTCTCACATTCATGACTTGGTTATTAAATACTTACGTAGTAATTGTTGGATCCATTATTAAATGTGTAAATGACAAAAGAAACTTGAGATTTTTAAGATGCACTCCCCTTTTAAGGTCATATTGCAATAAAATAAACTAAAGGTATCTATTATTTATATTTATTAGTCGAAAAAATATATATAAAATATATATATATATATATATATATATAAATTTTATATATTTTTTCGACTATTATTTTTACTAACGGCTATACCGTAATATTTTTCCTAAAATAAACTAAAGGTATATATGACCTTCTGGTAACCTAAATTTCTACTACTGTACTCGAGGAAATAAGCAGGTTGCCACAACAATTTAATTAACATGTTTTGATTGTGAAGCACGACATGACATATTTTTAGTTTACCGATGATATAACTGTGATAGGAGGATGTGGAATGATCAGAGTAATAGGTTAATAACTAGTCGAGCTTATTTCTTTTTCAAATTTGTATTTCATTTTCTTACATGTAGTATTAGTGGTATTCTTTATTTTCTATTCCTAGGTTTCTATTAATGTTTGTTGTTTCTTCTACTTTGGTTATATTATTTTTCTGGTCATTATTACTGTTTCTCTTTTTATATTTCTTTGTCATAATTATTGCGATTATGCTATCCTTAAGTCGAGGATTTATCGGAAATAATATTTGTACCTTCAAAAGATAGGAATAAAATTTGCGTACACACTCAGTTGTGAAATTATATTGGGCATGTTATTTTTTTGATTGTCAACCATTTAAAACAAAGTCAAGGGCAATTATGGAATTGAACTTCAAATTTGTGCATTTAGTTGTTGTTCTCGACGTTGTATTTTTTAAACGTTTGACAAATAAATAAAATCTTGTTCAAGAAACATGAACTAGACAAATTTCCATAAAGAATGTGATACAGCTTTTTATGTACACTTGTGTGTGCGATTGTGTGTTTTGCATAGCTGGTGGATTCAATTCAGGGCCCAACTTTTAACCATTTCACGTTCACAGTAGAAATGGCGACCACTCTTCTCTTCGCTTAATGAAAAAGTTCTGTACTGTAGTAAACAGTGCTCCTATAAAGATAATGAAATATTAGCATTACTTGCCCTTTTCCAGTTTTCCTTTTCGGTACGTTGCCCTTTCCATGCTTTTTTATGGCATTTTGTTCTGTTTTTGTCCACCATTTGCTCCATATGAAAAAAAGTTAAAAGTAGTAGGATGGTAAAATTAATTCGGACCGCATATTCACACAATAAATATATAGTAATACACATCTTTACAGACATAATGATTAATTAATATATATTTTCATCTAAATTGATTATTTAACCATGATAAATTAAGTATTACCCCCGTTCCAGTTTATGTGAACCTATTTCTTTTTTGGTTCGTTCCAAAAAGAATGATCCGTTTCTAAATTTGGAAACAATTTAGCTTAAACTTTCAATTCTACCCTTAATGAGAAGCTTTTATAACCACACAAATACGACCCCTTTTTGAGTTGTTTAGGACCACAAGATCCAAAAGCCTTCATTTTTTTTTAAACTCCGCGCCTAGTCAAACAGGTTCACATAAATTAGAACGGGGTGAGTATGTTTTAATGCAAATATTTGATGCTGAGTAAGACGTCAAATCTTATTTCTTCTCTGTACATCCAAATGATACAAGCATGGGATTTAGCTAGTGTTTGGTCATAGATTTTCAAATTTATTCTGAAAAATTTGATTTGGGTGAAGTTTGGTTTGAAAATGAAAATGTGTTTGGACATCTGTTTTGGGTGATGTTTGGTTTGGAAAAACATGAAACATGACTTATACCCACAAGTTTTAAAAATTATCACAAATACCCAACAATACCATTATCAATAACATTCATTATATTATCGCAAATCATAGTCCTGAACATAAATAAATTTGATACAAAATTATCATTTTTATAATGAACTACATGATACACTGTCAGATGACCGAGAAGACGAAGCAACATTATTACAAAAGAATAAATGGTGGGCTCTTTTATACAATACAAAAGTTTGGGGCAATTTTTAAAAAATATAATAGTGATATTTTGGCCCAAAACCAGCTATTGAGCTGGTTTTGAGTTTTGGGATTTGAAATTTGGCCAAAATGTAGACAAAATTTATGGTCAAACATGTGTTTGCCAAATAAAATCCAAATTTATTTTGGCAAAATCTATGACCAAACAGGTCCTTAGATCAGTGTACCCTTCTTAGCTTGCATTACTACTTCCAAGAAGAGGTAACTTTTAACTAACATATTGTTAGAAGTGACCATATGACGGGCATAATCATAATATAATCATAGGTTGCCTATGAGCTCAAACCTTACTATATCTTCGTTAAAAGGAACATTAAGGATTAGTTTTGTTTGAATACGGCTTATACCGGGATAAGTTATGTTAGGATTAGTTATTCTGATATTATTTTTTATTCATCGTTTGGTATGTTGTATTAAAAATGACAATTGCATAATTTGTAAGAAGAAGGTATAAGTTATTCCAGCACTAATTACCCCACCCTCTACATGGTATAAGTTATTCCGGTACTAATTTTAATCCCGGGATAACTTATACCAGGTTTGCTAACCAAACAAAATATTAAGATGGTATTAAAATTTTATACCAGTACTATACCTTCTTATACCTCATATCAAACGACCCCTAAAGGAAAAACTTTGAAAGCTGTAACGAGTGGAAAAAACGCGGACATAAACATAACTACGAAAGGTCCTTGTGAGATCTTAATGTGAGAAACGAATACATATTTTAAGGGGAAATGGCCAAATATACCCCTCTACTTTTGGGTATTGTCTACATTTAGCCTCTATTATACTATCCGGCCAAATTTACCCCTATCGTTATACTATCCGGTCAAATTTACCCCTACCATCAGCAAACTTTTAAAAATTACCTCTCAGTCCGTCAGGTAACCCAGAATCTCCCAAATTATTTTAATTAAGTCACTTATTCTTCTTCTGGATCCACTATTTTCGAAATAATTGGCATTTACACGTTTTTTAATTGGAAAAAAAAAATATGAGAAAGAAATATTTAAATAATATAACAGTTAATAAACAAAGTATAGTAAATTGAAGAATCTATATTAGGTAGCTTGTCTAAATTCCAAAAGTATTTACAACATCCCAACTTCAATGAATTCGCTGCACCAAATGTATGGAGATTTTGCAAGTATTAGTGATAAAAGTTGAAGTTTCTTGTAGACTTTACATTATCGAATTCAACTTTGCTTTAACAAATGCCTACGCATTGTGCGCTCTTAAGTTAGTCGATCGAATATAACCAAACAATAACAAAATATATTCAAATATACACGATGATCATCTGCATATAATACACAATAAATAGGCTCATTGAATTCTACGGTGTGTATATTATTGAAAAAATAAATAAAATTTTAAACCAATTCCAAACTTATTATCACAAGAAGAGAAGTGGGGCATTGGTAATTAAAAATATCCATGAATAATATGTGTAGTCTAGTACCTTTAGCATTCACATAAATAGTAATTTCTGGAAATAATGGATCAAGAAGAGTGAGTGACTTAATTAAAATGATTTAGGAGATTTTGGGTCACCTGACGGATTACATGATAATTTTTAAAAGTAAGCTGATGATAGGGGTAAATTTGGCCAGATAATATAACGGTAGGGATAAATTTGGCCGAATAGTATAACAGAGGTTAAATATAGACAGTATCCGAAAGTAAAAGGGTATATTTAGCCTTTTTCCTATTTTTAATATATATTCATGTTTTTAGAATTGTGACATGAGCTCAATATTATAACCACCACTGCCCTCCTCCTAAGGAAAAAGAGAGAGAGAGAAACTCGGAAGGTGAAAGTTATATTTGAACGTGTAACTATTGGATCACCCATATCTAAGAATATATGGACTTACACACACACACACACACACATATATATATATATANAAATTAAAAGTAACTTTTAACCAAGAAAGTGACGAGCGCAAAACACAATATATAAATGCTAAAACTCGTAAGTTAAAGATAGTATAGTTTATGTATCGTATTCACGTGATTGAATTAAATAATATTCTAGTAATTTATATTATTCAGGAGGAACAAATCTTTGAATTGATATGATTAATACTACAACTAACAAACTAAAATTATGACTAAGTCTAATTGATCACAAGAAAATGATAACTGGGCTACTATAGTTCACTATCAATATGAAATGGAAGGGTCGCGACATGGTATGTGCAAGATTGATATTCAGGATCTAACTCTGTTCAACTCCACTCTTAAAGTTCTATTAAATATTCTCATAATTTTATTAGGTGGTTAGCTTATTCTTATGATTAAGATTCTTCTATGGAATAAACCTAAACCTCACAAATAAACTAATGTGAAGTGCAGTAAAAATATGCAAGAATCTCGTTGGTAAGATTGGTCTAAGAGAAGCTTCTTGCGAATATTTCTTAACCTTAATTCAAACGTAAATCACAAAGCTCTTTAGATTATTTTAAAGAATAACCTAAATAAATTAAGGTATACGTTCCAACAATATTCAATAAAGTATTCTTCTTTCTACTAAATACAAGAAAAATAATAAAGTCACATCTAAGATTGAAGCTCATCCAACTAATTCAAGCAATTAAACTAGAGTTAGATCTATGAACAACAATCAAGTCACTAAATTGTGTCAAGCATAAGGTATACTAATCCATAGCAATGGAGTAAATTATCTCAAATATGTTCAAAGATATATAGACGACATCAAATTTAATGATTCGATACAAATTATCGTTTTGAATCGATTGTTGGTTGAAATCTTGATGAAATCACGTGTATTCTTGCCTTAGCGCTCTTCAATACTCTCCTAGGTTGAATCTCCTTCTTAAAACATATTTATACCAAGTAAGAACAGACTCGGACTGAATACCCTTTCTAAACTGAAACGAGAAAGACATGTAGCAAAAATGCATAGGTG